ATAGCGTAAACTTTCGTAATTATTACACCTACGTAATACTCCGAACTAATCGTAAATTTTCGTAAGTTTACACTCGCGTAAAAACTTGCGGAGGTTTACGCTTATTTATTTTTGCTGATGATAGAGCTCCCCCATAGTATTAGTAAAGAAGAAGAACAGCAAGACCTGCTTTTGTATTGATTACTAGAAAATAAATTCTTTAACTATAAAGGACTTCTACCCATTGCCACTTATTGATGATATTCTAAACTCATTACTACAGTCAAAGTCTTAGACTTAGCTAGCGGTTATTGGCAGATAGAGATGAACCTACAAGATCGCAAAAAAACCGCTTTCATTACCAAAGATGAGCTATACGAGTTCTTAGTTATGCCTTTGGTCTAACTAATACCCTTGCAACCTTTCAAAGGCTTATAAATAAGACTTTACACCCCGTGAATAGAAAGTTTATATTAGTCTATTTTGATGATATAAATATTCACTCAAACAAGTTCAATGAGCATTTACATCACCTCCAACAAGTCTTCAACTTACTAAAAAACATCAGACTATACTTCAGTAAAGATAAATGCCATTTTTTTAAAAGACAGTTATTATTTCTGGAACATTTATTAAATAGAAAAGAAATTGCTCCTGGCTCTAATAAAATTGAGAAGGTTTGAAATTTTCTAGTGCCAACCAATCTTATGGAATTACAAGGCTTTATCGGGCTAGCTTCATATTACAGAAAGTTTGTTAGAAAATTTTGCTAGAATAATACAACCTCTTAATACTCTATTGAAGAAAAATGTCTTTCTTGAATAGAATGATCAGTACCAAGAAGCCTTTGAAAGACTCAAGCAAAGGTCAATAACTGCACCTATCCTGTGACACCTTAACTTCAATAAATCTTTTATTTTATATACCAACATCTCGTATATTGGCCTAAACACCATACTAGCATAGAAAGACAACCACAAGGGAGAATATATGGTGGCATATGCAAGTAGGGGACTAAATAACCCCCAAAAAATTATTCAACTACCGAAATCGAGTGCTTGGCTGCTATATGGGCCATGCAGTATTTTTGTCCCTATATCTATAATAAAGAATTGAAATTAGTAACTGACCACCAAGCTCTTAAATGGCTGCTAAATAATCCACAACCTACAAGTAGGCTTGCAAAGTGAATCATGATCGCCATGGAATATCCCTGTATCATCTGATATCGAAAAGGTTCAACTTATACTAATATAGACACCTTATTAAGAATTTCTTACAAGCCTCTGTAAAGAAAGAAAATTGAAAAAAATTAATAAGTGTTGTAAAAGACAAGTAAATAAAAACCTTCTAAAAAAATTAATCACAACTTAAGTTTTAAGTTAAAAATCTGGACCAAATCCAGCCCAGGTTACCAGTATCCTGATATCTAAAATAAGCTAAATATTTTAATAGAAAAAAAAAAATTCATAAAGACATAAGATTTTTCCTTTTTTTAAGATGGATTTACAATATTATCAACAACTAAAACTATATTTTGAGACTACAAAAATCTCTGAAAATATAGACATAGCCCAATGAAAGAGATTCAAAAAACAGACCATCTATTATTTAATAAAGAACGACTGACCTCCTCTACAGAAAGAATAAAAAACAGGATAAACCTTTACTACAAGTAATTAAACAAAATGAGTTAGAACAGGTATTATATGAGCTCTATTTAGACTAAATAGCTAGACACTTCAGAATAGAGTCAACTTACAACAAGGTCAGAACTAAGTATTTTTGGCCTCAAATATACAAGATTATTAGTAAATACGTCCAAACTTGTAATATATATTAGTAGCAGGGTGCTCTAAAGCCTATGAAAAGTTATACCCCTTTCTCATAGAAGCTCCATTCAATAGAGTGGGTATAGATATAGTAAGCCTCTTTAAAGATATCACTAAAACAGACAACTATTACATCATCATAGCTACAAAATACTTAACGAAGTGGCCCAAAGCTTGCTCTATATCCAATATGATAATATTTACTGTAGCTGCTTCATTTATAAAGATATTATATGCCACTATAGTTGTCTGAAAACCCTTCTGTCTGACCAAGAGCATTTTTTTTGTAATGAAATCATAGATGCCCTGTGTGAAATTATAATCACCCACCATTGTCTAGCTGCTACTTACTACTCTCAGACAAATAGCTTTACAGAAAGATTTAATAAAACTCTCTGCTTCACCTTAGCAAAACTAGTTAGTTATTATAAAACCACTTGGAACACTCTACTTTCTGCTACCCTGTTCACTTACCATACTTTCCTAAATTACACTATTAAGTATGATTCGTTTTACCTTATATATAGATGCCCTGCTATTCTCTCAATAAATCTGCAACTGAGACAAGAGGAAATATTAGAAATGCCCTTAGAACAATTACTAGAACTCACATTAATAAAATTACAGAACAATTACATCAAAGAGATTTCAAGCCCAGAGTAATATCCAAGAAGCTTAATGGAAGCAAAAAGAATACTATGATCGAGATGTTAGGCTCATAAAGTTTAAAATTGGTGATCAAGTTCTACTATATGAGTCAGCCAAGGAAAAAGTATATGACAACAAACTAAGAGAAAAATAAAAAGAATCTTACTTTATTCACGATTATAGTGCTCCAGGAACGTATAAGTTGTGGACAACTAAAGAAAGGATTCTTAAAAATTTGGTGAATACAGATTGATTAAAAAGATACTATGACTGTCCTACTTGAAACCTTACAGTCGTACTCCCATATAATCACCTCCTATATAATCACAAACTCTATATAATCACATAATTTTATACAGGCATTTTTTTTAATATTAAAATTACCTTTATATAATCACTATTATAGTACTGTCACTATCACATTTTTTTAAAAAGATTTTTTACTAATTTATTAATAAAAATACCTCTTTAAAATTACAAATTAATAAAATTTTTTCTTTAAATTCTATCTCTTAAATTGTAACAGGCAAATTTGTCTGCGAAGATTTTTACTAATTTTTTTAATATTTAAATTTTTAATAAAATTTTAAATATTAATTTTAGCTATATATTTACTTAATAAAAAATCTATATATATTTTTTTTTAATGACATTGCCTTTTTATTACTCATTATGTGGATGCATATTGCTATACATATTTTACAATGAATATTTAGTACATCATTGGTAATCTCTTTCTAACTATTACCTGTTATGCTGCCATCACCGAGTTTATATCTCAAACCACCTTTTGGAGTGTTGCCATAACCCAGTCTGTATTTCAAGCCACAATCTTTCTAATTAGTCATCAATTACCGCAGATATCCCAGGTTCTTCCTCTGTAGTATTACAGTTCCTGAATATTATTATAAAACCTCTGAGCAAGACATACCAAGCTTTTCAGCCTAATATAGTCACATCAACCCCTATCTATCTCACCATTGGTCAACACATTCTGTGAAGTTTGCTTACTCTAATACCGGGTGCCTTCAGATTATTGGATGGTGGGTATTCCTATTTGCTAAATATCACATGTCTTACACATATATCTATCTAGACTTTGGCAACCTACGTCATGACTCTAACCATGCACTTGGGGTCAGGACTAACTATTAAACCTTTGTGATTATCTATTTCTACTCTTATTAAGTTCACAACAACTCTAGTACCCATATTTGGACAATTTTCTTATTAAGATTCTTTATTGGTCTCTCCCTTATTTCCAGCTAGCAACCCAGAAGAGTTGGTCTGCCTAGGCTTTAGGTGCTTGAAAAATGCTCTCCCCTTGATATATAAGCACTCACTTTTTACTATAAGGGTGCTTATTTTTAGATACTTCACAAATAATAAAAAATTTGGTTACAAAAAACAAAAACTTATTCACTCCTGCTATACTGGGAGCCAATATAGCTATTACGCTTATTGTAATAGTCATTTGATTGTCTTTTATAATTGTCCTTTATTGCATTATTTCACTTCAATCAACTTTAATAACGATGATCGAACCTGTATGACTATTTAATATTTATAAAAAAAAAAAAAAAAAACAAACGTTTCCATTATAAACCGACTAAAAAAAAAAGTCAATGGCCCTAAGTCCAAGCCAGAAACTATCTCAAATAAAGAAAATATTTTAAAATCAAATCAAGAAAGCATTTTAAATTTAAATTAAATAAATATTCTAGGTTCAAAGCAAAAAACTGTTCAAAGAAATGTTCTAGAGCCAAGGCAAACAAATATCTAAGAAAAAGTTAATAGGTTAAGTTGAAAAAATACACCTAATCCAAGTTCAAAAAATAATTCAAATCTAGAAAATGATTCAAATCAAGAAAATAATTCAAATCAAGAAAGTAATTTAGATCAGGAAAATGATTCAAATCAAGAAAATTTGTTTCAACTTAGAAGTCATTCATTTATCTATTATCATAATATCAACAAGATAAATAAGACAAATAAAATTGTCAAACATAAAGCTAAGGTTAAGGTTCTTATATTTCATAAGGCAAAAACAGAGGTTGTTAGTTATGTGAAGCAACATAGAAAAAATCAAGCAGCAAAAAACTTCAATCTTAATGGCAATATAATTGGGCATTGGGTAAAGGCAAGTACATGCTAGAAGGTTTCAGCAAATAATAAAAATAAAAAAACTTGGTTCTGGATGAAAAGCTCTTTATTCTGAAGCCAAAAAAAGTCTGTATACTTGAATTATTAAACAAAGAAAACAGAAGTTAGCTGTGACTTACATTATTATACAAGATCAAATAAAAAAAATTTTGCAATAGCCTGATATGATACTTCTTTATAGTAATGCTGCAAAAACTTTCAAGACATTTCATCGTTGGTTAATAGTATTCATGAAGTGAAATCAGTTGGTATTATGATGATGTACTAGAATTTTGCAAAAACTTTTTAAACAAACTTAGGAGTTATTAAAAAAATTTTGTCAATATGTTATCTGTCTTAGAAGTGAAAAGCTTTATAGAATGTGCAATATTTTTAACATAGATAAAACTTCAGTTTGGTTTAATATACTAGTAATTTTACCATCAATCTAAAAGGTGAAAAAACAGTTCATATTCAGGCTATGGGTAATAAAAAGAATAGGATTACAGTTATTTTATCATATGCAGCAGGGATTTTTTCAAAATTTTAATTTCATACATTTTCTTACATTGTTGGTTTGTTATTGTAGATAGAAGTAAGCTCTCTTTTATCTGTATATTTAAAGAGAAATAATTAAAGCATAGTAAACAAATTTTCTCTAGTATTATAGTTTGGTTTTAGGAAAAAGGTTGGATGAATACTGAGCTAATGCTAAAATATATAGACTATCTTAATGATATACAATTGAAAAATGAAACTAAAAAGAATCAAGCAATGCTAGTATATAATTCTTTTAGAGATCACTTGAAAGATCAAATTAAAAATAAAATTCGTAAGCATGATATTAATTTGGCAGTAATTCTAGAAGGTTTAACTAGCATCTGCCAACCTCATAATATTTCAATTAATAAGCTATTCAAGGATAATCTGTGTAAAAAATAGCATCTTTGGAGTGCTAAAGGTGGTGCTAAAAAAACTGCTACAGGGAATCTTCATCAAGCTATGATTAGTAATGTATATATGTAGGTTAAATATGCTTGGGAGATGATTTCTGCTAAAATTATCATCGAATCTTTTAGAACTTGAAATGATCTTGATAAAATAAGATCTAATCTAGAAATTGTTGATCTTTGTAATAGAGATAACAAAAATATTGATATTGAAGAAAATGAATATAAGTGTTTATTTATTTATTAAAATTTGCTAAAATGAAAAATATCGTTGCAGTAAATAATCCTTATATATTACTATTAAAATGGAATAGAATTTGATAATGATAATATTAATTATAATAATAATTATAGTGATGATTTTGGCAATGATTATAGCAACAATAATTATGGTGACAATTATAGCAACAATTATAGCGATGATTATAGCAACAATTATGATGATAATTATGGTAATAATTATGATGGCAATTATGGTGCTATAATGATATTAATAACAATAACCATGTAAATAATAATAATTACAATAGTATTAGGCGACAATAGCTAAGGTAGTATGATAATTGTTTCTAGTAACATCAAATTGTTAACAATTTAAATTTTTATAAATTAATTGGTGATCCACTAGTCAACCAGAAAATGATTATCCCTTAAACCATACAGTTAAGCAGGCAAATTTGCCTGCTAAAATTTTATAAATTCATATCTGATCTATTTTTATTAAAAATAAAAATATTTAAATAAAATTTTTTTTAAATAATAATTATAATTATATACTATTTAAAAGTTATTTTTACCTCTTTAAAAATTTGAAGTTACATATAAAAGAAAACTTTATAATTTTTTAAAAAAAAAATTAATTTTAAAAAAAAAATTCTTTTTTTTTAATTTTACTTAAGATTTAA